GAAGGAAGAATATATCAAGTCTAACCACATACTTCAAAAGAAAAGGGTGATAAAATGACAAGAGATTATGGAAATCAAAAACAGCTTGCTAAAACAATCTGCTAAACCTTGGGTAACTACTCAGCCAAAAATCTAGACAAAAGCTGTAGCTTAAAATGGTCATCTCTGCCTATGGGAGGTTATAGTTTACTGAGCAACCCCAAACTAAAATACACTTAACATATCAATATAATCCATGAAGGGTACAATTATACACTCGAGGTAGTTTTCCATCCATTCAATGGTGACTTAGCTTTTTTCCTCCCATTAAATGTGCTTTGAGTCTTTACCTACTAAACAGAGGAGAAAAGTACTGGCATCATCCACTTCTTCAGAGCTTCCAAGAATTAACTCACCTAAAATAAGCTGAAAAATCATCTAACAATGACTTCTTGTCTGTTGAAAAGGCTACAATTAAGTCATTGTAACTGTGGCAAGGTTTGTACACCCGTCATTCCAAAAGGAATAAAAGAGCCTAGTAAACAGCTGTGATAAATTGAGTAATGAGAAAGATGAAAACTAAGTTATGGAGAACAAACCCAACTATGATCAATTTTTAAACATCTAGCAAGGCAAATCATTTACTATCAGCAAGCAAAGGATAATCCCTAGAAGAAAACAAAAGAGCAAATTTCTCCAAAAACACATCAGAGGATTAGTTATAAGATTACAGCAAGAAAGCATATTTTTATAAACTTCAAAATGATTAATGATTGATTTCACAACTAATTAGTAAGAAATAAAATTTCAAATTAAGAACAAATTTGGAGCATAATAACTACCCAGTTCTAGGATTCAGAAGCATTTGCAAGTGTAGTGTCCAAGTCAATTTCTATTGTCCTTAAGCCACATAAGAAATTTATTTGAATTCGAGACAGTTTTTGTAGCATAGCTCATTAAGCAGGCAGCCACTTATTATACATAATTTCGTGCTTTTGAATAGCACCAACAAATCTAGTGGAATTTACAGAAGCAGCAAAAATCTAGGATCAGCACAAGAGTTACAAAGAATACTTACTAACAGCGCAACAACACATCTTGCCTCTCATGTTATCTTTCAAAGAGAATTGAAAAAGATATGTACTAAGGGTGCCATGGGAGCAAGGCAAATACTATTATTATTCAATGGAAAATTAAATCAAGAGTGTCTCAGAGAGATTCTTATTTCACTGTTCCTTGATTTTAATGTGTTCCAAGACAAAGTTTGGTTAGGCAGAGGCCACTGCTTTGCTATAATTCTTACCAAACAGTATGTGTAAGAATCTCCATATATTATCTGAATACAACCTTTAATGAAGATATAAAACTACTCTATTACATTTCAAAGGAGGGATGATACTTTATAAGGTTGGTTTGGGTTCAAAGGTAGTTCTTTCATATTAAGTTATATTAATTATAACATCATTCTGGCATTGTTAACACAGTGTGGGACTTTGTGTAAATGGATGAACTCATTATTTTTGCTGAAGAAGAACTATTTCAAATATTTGCAAGGCAAAAGCATTGAGCAAGTCCAGCCCATCAATAAAATTTAACCTCATAGATCAGCTCGGTGCTTTGTGACCACCTAGAGGGGTGGGATAGGGACGGTGGGAGTGAGACGCAAGAGGGAGGAGATATGGGGATATGTATATGTATAGCTGATTCACTTTGTTAGAAAGCAGAATGTAACACACCATTGTAAAGCAATTATACTCCAATAAAGATGTTAGAAAAATAAAATAAAATAAAATGAAATTTAACCTCACAATCAAAAGGGAACTTTTTGCATGTATTACATTAAAACGAGAACTTATATGTCATTTTGATAGGCTTGATGTTTTTGAAAGAAAATGTGTCAATTTCATTTTCAAAAATATATCTTTTCCTTTGTATTATCTGTCTGTTATAAAGGCTCCTTGGACCTAGTATGAGAAATGTATCATTTCGTTAAAAAAAAATCAAAAAACAAACAAAAAAAGATGATATTGCCAAAGAAATTACTGCTTAGAAATTTGAGTGGAGTTGAAAAGACCAGTCATTGACTGGCAGACTCTAACTTAGGTCCAGCACATAATTTACAATGTCTTGTTCTCAAAGAAACAAAATAAATAAAATTTACTTCTACATATTATCTTTGTATGTTTACAAGCCAAAAAAGGGAACAACACTTCTCAGTTTGCTGCTGAGATTTTGCCTCTACCCCGTCTAGTTCTTGCGCATGACCGTAGATCTAAGCCCCACAAGTGATTTACTGATTCTGTATGAAAACAGATGAAAATGTGTATTAGTACAGTGGCACCAGACTATGAGCAAATTGGTTTTTATTTTTTTAAGGAAATGCATGGTATTCTTGCTGCATTCTTAAGTTACCTCTTGGTAAATGATGAGGAAACATTCTCAGGCTCATCATACCCATATTCACCCAGATGTTAGACTGCTGTGTCCGAGTGGCAGGCTGCTGTCTCAGGAAGAGAAGATAGCGAGGAAATAATTCCAGCTCTGGGATTTCTGTCTTGCTATTCTTGATTACCTATTGTTTTAAAAGACGTAAAGTGATCACTATAAAAGAAACAAAACTTGTCTTTTTTTTTGTTTTTGTTTTTGTTTTGCGGTACACGGGCCTCTCACTGTTGTGGCGTCTCCCGCTGCGGAGCACAGGCTCCGGACGCGCAGGCTCAGCGGCCATGGCTCACGGGCCCAGCCGCTCCGCGGCATGTGGGATCTTCCCGGACCGGGGCACGAACCCATGTTCCCTGCATCGGCAGGCGGACTCCCAACCACTGCGCCACCAGGGAAGCCCAAAACTTGCCATTTTTTACCTAATTTCTTAGATTTATTTTTAAACTAAAATGTTCAATAGGTTCACTGCCTATATTTCAGTTAGATTATAGAAATTCACAGGTTTAAATTACATGGGTTTAAAGACCCTCAGCCTCCTGCACCTTAATCCATTTTCCAGGATTAGGATTCCTGGTGGGTATTTTCTCCCCTTTCATTTAAAAGCAAGTAACATCAAAATTAAGGGGAAAAAATCTTAACTATTATCTACAATTCTAGCACTCTCACACCATAACTCTTTTCACTTTTACATATTTCATACATATAAATGATGGTATTTTAAAGGACAAATTCTTAGGAATGGAGTTAATAAAAAAGTACGAAAGTATTCATGTCATTAACTACATAAGTCATAGTGCCACCCAAAATGTAGCAATATTCCTGGAAATGTATGAATGTATTACTTTCACAAAAGCTTATCACTGGACATCATTTAAAGATACCCCATTTCTGGGCTTCCCTGGTGGTGCAGTGGTTAAGAACCTGCCTGCCAATGCAGGGGACACAGGTTCGAGCCCTGGTCCAGGAAGATCCCACATGCCGTGGAGCAACTAAGCCCGTGTGCCACAACTACTGAGCCTGTAAGCCACAACTACTGAACCCACGTGCCACAACTACTGAAGCCCACGCACCTAGAGCCTGTGCTCCGCAACAAGAGAAGCCACTGCAATGAGAAGCCCATGCACCGCAACAAAGAGTAGCCCCTGCTTGCCACAACCAGAGAAAGCCCGTGCGCAGCAACCAAGACTCAATGCAACCAAAAATAAATAATAAATAAAATGAAAAAACAAACCCCATTTCTTTAATACATATAAAGAATATTATAAATTTGCTTAAAATTTTATTTCTTGTATTTGTAGTGAGAACAAAAATGTTTCCACGTAAAAATTTACTATCTATGTGTTTTATGTAACTGGACTGTTCATATATTTTTTGTCTATGATTAAAACAACTAAATTAGATGTACAAAACTGGAAGTCACACGGTTGAAACAGGATTTTTCAGTAATCCCTCTAATAACTTGCTTGCTAGCCCCAAAACACAGGAAAACATATTACCAAAGTAGTGCTTTAAGAGTTTTAAGAGTAGCACCTTATCAATTTAGCATTCCAAAAGGATAGCAGGGTCAACACTCAAACTCTTTAAAACATAAAATCTTACAGAATCTTTAATAGTCTCAAGTGATTGGGCTTTGCTTCATTTCCTTTTGCCTTAGTAACCAATATATTCTGCAACAGAGCATTTTTTAATATCAAGGGGGGGGCAGTAAAGAGCCAGATAAAAACAATGCTACAAACCAAACCTTTAGGACTATTTCTTAAAATTATTCTACATGTTCTGATATGCTATAGTATGGTACTAGGAAAGCTCCACTTAGGAGCTTTTTCAGCTCCTATTTAAAGCAGTAAAAGGAGCTCTCCCTGACACTGGAGGAAAACAAAGTCTGTCCACTTCTAGAGAGTCACTGATAGCTGCAAAGCCAACAGTAAAATTCTCTTATGATTTCAGTTTAACTGTGATTTTGGGAAAGATCAATAATTCTGCATCTATAGTCGTCAGGCTACATAAAAAACATACTTTTGGCAGAATCTGAAATGACAAAGAAATAATTTTTATAATCTGTAGCTTGCTTTCCAAGATAAGTGATTTTGTGAGCAAATTACAGATTAACAAATTCTTATACATACAGGCACAATCATACATAAATACATATTTCTTTACATTTTAATTATTCTTGTATATGAACTTATTAACTTCAACCATAACCGGCAAACAATAGATGCAATTCCATTTACAGGAATTTACCTTAAAGAGATCATCACAAAGTTTAGAAAGAGACCATTTACCAGAAAAAAAAAATTTTTTTTTTTTTTTTTCAGTCGTGTGGTGCAGCACACAAGATCTTAGTTCCCCAACCAGGGATTGAACCTGTGCCCCCTGCACCGGGAGCACAGAGTCTCAACCACTGGACTGCCAGGGAAGTCCCAGAAAATTGCTTTAAACAACTAAAATCTAGAAGCAAACTAAAAGTCCATCAGTGGTGATTGGTTAATAAATTGTGATTTATGTACATATGTATGTGTATGTAATAAATTAAGGAACACTATGTAATTATTAAAAATAATGGTATAGATCTAAATTTATTAGCCTAGAAAGATATCAATAGCATCTATCTTAGACTGAAAATAGCGGATCACAAGACATCAAGTATAATATGATTCAATTTCATTAAATTATCTATACATATTTATATATGTATATGATTAGGCACAGAGGAATGTTTGGAAAGATGAACACCAAAATGTTAATAGTAATTATCTCTTAAGTAGTAGGATATGGTAGATATGGTATGCTTTTTATTTTCTTCTTTATTTTTCTATATTGCTTAATTTGTTATCATTGAGCTTGTACATGTGCAAGTTAAATAAAGCTATTTTTTTAAATGGTATGATTTATGTAAAAATGAAGATGAAAGTATTTATTTTTAACTTTGCTGTAGCAAATATATTTAGTATTCTTTAAACACCATATTCTAAATGTTTTTATAGCAATTTTTCCTGAATCAGGCAAATTTATCTTATTTAGAGGTAAAAAAATATTATCAAGCCAGCAACCGAAGCTTTCATGTAGTAAAATTACTGCTTATTTAAACTAATATTTATCTGACATCAATGTTAAAAAACATGATCTTTTATGAGGCTCCAAAAAAACTTGTTTAATAATTATAATGATGATGGTGATGATAATAGCAACAGGCAAAATTTATTGACCATTTACTATAAATCAGGTGCTGTGCTAATCATATGTATTATTTACTTATCAAAACAACTCTAATGAGGTAGATATAATTGTTATCACCATTTTACAGATGAGGAAACTAAGGTTTAGAGATTAGAACACTGGTAATCTGAATTCAGGCAGACTCCAAAACATCAAACTCACTCACTCACTCACTCACTCACTCTATCTATCTATCTATCTGCCTACCTACCTACCTACCTACCTATCCATCCAACACAATTATCACAATGATTCTCCTACAGACATAGAATATTGGATCCACCTCTGCCAATGCAGGGGACACGGGTTTGATCCCTGGTCCGGGAAGATCCCACATGCCTCGGAGCAACTAGGCCTGTGTGCCACAACTATTGAGCCTGTGCTCTAGAGCCCATGAGCTACAACTACTGGGACCACGCCCTGCAACTACTGAAGCCCGCGTCCCTAGAGCCCGTGCTCCACAACAAGAGAAGCCACCGCAATGAGAAGCCCGCGCACCACAAAGAAGAGTAGCTCCTGCTTGCCGCAACTAAAGAAAGCCCGCTCCCAGCAACGAAGACCCAACACAGCCATAAATAAACAAACAAACAATAAATAAATTTATTTTTAAAAAAAAGAATATTAGAGCAGGAAAGTCCCACCAGAAATTAAGTGATTAACTCAAGGACTATCCCAACCCCCAATAAATAAAGAATATAATATGTATGTAAATGTATCTATGTATATTCATATTTATATGTATTTACCTAGGAGTTCTGTTGACAAATACAGTAAAAACCTTTTGGAGCCAACAAACACAAACCCTAAATTCATGATTGTGATTTAAACATAATTTTAAATAATTATTAATAACTCAAAATCATTATCAAAATTATAGAGTACGGACATATAGCAGACTTTTACTCTTTTTGGATGTGATCTAAGTTACTATATCTTATCCATGTAAAACCTTTCTGGTATAAAAGCATTCTAGCTTGGACATTATACAGGGAGAGTGTTTCTTGATACAGTAAAAGACTCTTATAAAGTATTTTACTGCGTCCGTAATGTGAAGAGTATTCAGGGCAATGAGTACTGCTGTTTACTGTATAAGCAGAACAAATAATGTTGAATAGTTAACTCACTAATATTTTGATATTACACACTCCAAGCCCTTTAAATTACTGTAGAGCATTTTACTTATGCTCTAAATGACTCATTCTAGTAATGGCAACAATCAGAATTCACTAGCTTTGAATTCTTTTTATTATATGTTGTGATCTCTTATATGTCCCTCCTTCAAAAAGACAAACCACAAAAATCCACCAACAGCTACAAGATGAATCCAATCCCTAAGTGGATGCCTGTGTGGTTAATGGGAGTAACAGTTTTAGAAGTAACCTCTGTACCACTTCCTCTACATTCACTTAACTTTTTGGCACTGGCTCTCAGACTTCTGCTCCAGTCTGAGTTCTGCATTATCTTAATGGCTATGTTTATGTGGATGACTTATTTAATAGACTAGCCTCATAATTCCTTGACTCTATTTAGTCCAGTGACTATTTCCTCCACTCCATATAAGCCACCCACCCCCAAAGGAACATCATTGTATGGTTGGTACTTAATGTAGTGCTCAATAAATGTATGAGTAAATGAATGAATGAATATGAAAGAACCTAAAATTCATTCAGCTAATTTGAACAGGTACTGAATACTCTGCTACCATGGGTAAGAACTAATTTGTGGATAGTGAGGTTCACATAAAAAATTAATAGAAGACCCCATCTATAATTGCTCCTTATATAAGGCAATATTGGCTATACTTACAGGTCTAGGTAAGGCCAGGTTTGCTCCATACCAATGATAAAGTGCTCTCCATACAGGTTCTGGAACCATTTCATAATCTCTTCCATGAATCAGCTGTGGGGTTCGTTTTAATCGTCCTCCTTCTAGTGTTAATGATGTAGCCTTAGAAAGAATGGAATGTAAATGTTGATTTTTTTTTTTTTTTTTTTTTCTTGTCCTTCATAATCTCTTCCATGAATCAGCTGTGGGGTTCGTTTTAATCGTCCTCCTTCTAGTGTTAATGATGTAGCCTTAGAAAGAATGGAATGTAAATGTTGATTTTTTTTTTTTTTTTTGGCTGCACCTTGCAGCTTTTGGGATCTCAGTTTCCAGACCAGGGATGGAACCCGGGCCCATGGCAGTGAAAGTGTGCAGTCCTAACCACTGGACTGCCAGGGAATTCCCCCAAATTTTGATTTTTAAAATTGCAGTCTCTTGTGTTTTAACAAAACCTAGACACAGGAGAATAAACGCATCACTACTCAGTTTCATGTCACTAGAAAAAAATGAATTTTCTAAAAGACTTTTATTTTGAACTTTCAAAATAAACTAAGAAATGAAACTCAAGGCAAATCATTTGAAAAAAGTCACTGTAACATTTGGAAATAATAAAAGTTTTCACAGACTTCTTTCCAACAGTAAAAAATATTATTTTGAAAAAAAAAATTCACATACACGTGAAACTACATTTTTACAGTAGCTGCCCTAAGTAAGAAAATCATTTCTAAGGATCACTAAACCGCTTCCACGCAAGTACTGAGTCATGAAATATTCTCACAGAAACATTTCCATCTACAACAGGTTAATAAAATGAAACACAGACATTTTCTATGTGCTAAAATCTGTAGAATGAAATTTATTAGCAACTTGAAAGAGATGTCAAATTACTTACTTTTACTGGTTCTTGAGTTACTAGTGGCTGGTTATCAATAGCCCCTGGTTTCTGAGGATTGAGGTGCAACAAAATATTCCCACTGGTTCCTAGTAAACACTGGTTGTTATTGTCAGAAGTGTTATGTTGTCGAGCAAAGCACATATCTGCCCCTGGTGTGGCAGAATACAGAAAGCCTGTAAGGAAAAAGAAGATGGAATCTCTTTATTTTATTATATATAAATAGGCTTGAATATACAAACTCAATGTCCATGTATTAGGTTAATGCTATTATTCTGTGGTCAGGTCAGTACAGGGTTAGATTCTGATGAATTCTGTAGAAGATAGGAATTAGAGAGGTATTCTTTTCTGGACAATACCTAGTATAACACTAGGTAGAATAAAAGCTTTGAAAATTGTTACCAAATGAACATTTGGCCAGACTCCTAGAATATCTAATAATTCACAAGAATTATATGTCCTCTTCCTTTCCTCTGATAGGAAAGGAAGAAATACAGTCAAGTAGCTGGGCTCTCACATATCTTCCCTTAATTCTTCTCTTCTACCTGCAAAGGTTCTTGGTAGATAATGGTGATAACAAGTCTCTAAACCAAAGGGAAGGAGCTAAAACAAGAACCCCCAACAGGAGAGTGCTGGGAGGGAAGAAACTGTTCCCTAATAAATCTATTTGAAAGGAAGGCATGAATGTCACAATAGAAAAATACACACAGGAAAATGACTGATGATAACTTAGAGTTGTGAACCCCAGTGGTATCTTAAGGTATTTCAACTCTCAACCACATGTTAATCTCAGGTAAACCTTCTAGCCATCATTTGCTTTGAACCTTCTATCTGTGGTATGGCTCAGCATGTGTATAGCACAGATGAGTGAGCACATACCAAAAAGGATCTTAGGGAGGGTCAAGAAACAATCTTAGTGTGAAAGCTGATCAGAGAGAGCACTTCTAGGACTGCTAAGTGATCTCTGTAACGTCAGATGGGGAAAAAGAAGCAGTAGATTCTACAAAGAGTTTTGTAGAGAAAATGCTAACTCTGTCCAATTTGCCTTCTCCCTCCACAGAAAAGGAGAAAAAAATCTCAAAGATGAAACAACAGAATAAGGTTGAGAGTTCTGCTACTGTATCAGCAGAATAATAGGGATCAACTAAATTCATTTGGGCCAAAATACACCAAAGCATCTTCCCCATAAGTGTAGAACCACTAAGTTTTATGTAGGTATCAACAACGGAAGGGGATTATGGGGAACATTATGAAGTCTTTCTAAATATTTTAACAAAATAACCCCCAAATTCCATCCTGAAATGTCTGTAGAATCTGATATGAGGGTGCATTTAATCCAATGAATGTATGCTTATGGTTAGAGAGAGTTCTGGAGATAAAAATTTAGATTTTCTTATGTCTTCTCAAATTTAAATTTATTGACAAAATGATTTAATAACAAAATGAAAACTGTGAAAATATTTTCAAATTGAGAGATTAATGAGGTAGAATATAGAAGAGCTCCTCTTTGTAAAGCTACTAATACATTCAAGAATCTATTAATTGACCATTTCATTCGAAACTTATTTCTGTGAATGGAAACCTGATGCCCCATATCCTACCAAGCACACTCTCTGACAAAGTGTACCCCTTTAAGAAATGACCCTGCCTAAACCTCTTGGAAAACAAACTATGCTTACCACTGCCAGCAGTTTCCGAGGCTTCAGATGCAGTAGAAATGTTGTCTGAAAATTTCTCTTCTGTGGTGTTCATATAACTGGGGCTGCCTCCTCCGATTCTATCTTCACTCTGCTCTATAGGATGTACTGTTGTTCCAAACAAATATTTTCCTCCATTCAGAACAGATGACGGCTCAATTGCAACAGGGCTGGCATCCTAAAAATCATGAAGTCAGAAATTAAGACGTAAAATTTAATAATCTGCCAATTATGCAGCCTTCAAAATTGAATCCGCAAATTGTCTATTGTTTCTAATCTTCCTGTGGTTGGCTACAGCCACTTAAAAACATTTTGATGTATAACTAAATTTTAATTTCTTCAAAGGGGAATAGTGTATATAAATAAAATTGGTAAGGCAGAATGGGAACAGACTGCAAGGGACTCTGTGCCACATAAAATAATTTAGACTTTATTCTGTTGAAAGTTGGAAATAACGGAAGGCTTTTATTATACTAAAAAATTAAATAATATTTATTCTTTTTACTATTAAAGATTACATTGCTATTATAGAAAATATGGGAAAATATGAAGAAAATAAATATCACAAGTACTCAGATGCCATCATTTATTTTTTGTGACTGAAAACATATATATATATGTAAAAAATAATTGTAGAGAATACAGTTAGAATTAAGGGCAGGGCACTGACTTCCCAGCTCTGTGACCTTTTACAATAAGTAAACTTATAAGCCTCAGCTCCTTCATAGGTAAAAACTAGGATAATATTAGCATTAATATCTACCTCAGAGTTTTATGCCTGGCGTTTAGTAAATGTGAACTATCATTCTGGTTGTTGTTAGATATCACATTTTAAATACAGCATATTGCTAGTTTTTCTTTCCCTTAACATTATATTGATAGGATTTTTCTGTGAGAGGCTTTTAAATAGGGGGATAGCATAACCCAATTTTTGCTTTAAAAATAACTCTAGTGTGTAGAAAGGATTTGAGGCAGAAACTGAAAATTGAGACACAAATTAGAAGACTTCTATAATAATTCAGGCAAGAGATGATGAGGCACTAAACCATAAAAAGCTAGATCCATAAGTAAGGAGATAGAGAGAAGAGCATGGATTTAGGAGATTAAAAAAAACTTGACAACTAATTGTGTATGAAAGAGGGGCACAGATAATTCCAAGGTCGGACATGAGGTGCTGGCTTAGATGACTGGATGGGAGTTGACACCTTCATAAGATAAGGTGTACTGGTGACTGGAATCGTTTTGGGAATAACCTTATTTTGGGATATTCTGGTTTGAGATATGTGGACATTGAGTCTAGTGCTCAGGACAGAGAAAGAGACGAGATATAAAAATGTGAAGCTCAACAGACTTCTGGAAGGACAAGAAAATGGTGTATGTAGAATAAGGAGAGTACAGTATTTACAGGATAGGTAGCAGAAGAATCTGGGAAGGACGCTGAGTCTGAATGACCAGAGAAAAATCAGGAGATGCAGTGTACCAGAAGCAGAGGCCGCTAGCATAGAACTATTCTCTACTAAGTTTACTTATGGAAAAAAAACAAAAAAAAAAGAGAGAGAGCTAAGACTTGAGGAGAAGCTGGAGGGAAGGTGCTATGAGAATGTATATCTGTGAGTGTTTTAAAAAGATCAGGATAGAAAAAAAAATAAAAAATAAAAAAATAAAAAGATCACGATAGGGCTTCCCTGGTGGCAGAGTGGTTAAGAATCTGCCTGCCAATGCGGGGGACACGGGTTCGAGCCCTGGTCTGGGAGGATCCCACATGTCACGGAGCAACTAGGCCCGAGAGCCACAATTACCGAGCCTGCGCGTCTGGAGCCTGTGCTCCGCAACAAGAGAGGCCACGATAGTGAGAGGCCCGTGCACCCGCGGTGAAGAGTGGTCCCCACTTGCTGCAACTAGAGAAAGCCCTCGCACAGAAATGAAGACCCAACACAGCCATAAATAAATAAATAAATAATTTAAAAAAAAAGATCAGGATATTTTTAAGTGAGAGGCTAAAGAGAAAGACTAATGAGGCTAACCAGTAGAACAAGATCCCACAGCCATCTGAGAATGATAGACAGTAGCATGGGTAAAGGATCTTAAGTGGCATTCAATAAATAATGACATAAATTTTAGTAGATGAAACTGATCAATGGCTGTGGGTCTTGAAGGCACAGCTTATAAAGTAACTAATTGAAACCCAAGAAGAACATCAAATTTAAAAGACAAACTCCAAGTCACAGCATAGCAACAGCATAATGGATGCTTTAGATTCTTTTAATGAAACTACAGCATCCCTAATTTTAGCCAAAACAAGGAGACATTGTGTCAATATTTTATTAGATATTTTTCCCTCTTTGATCTGTAAGGCAGGGGAATACTATCAATTTGTAAATCCTTCAGAAGCCAGCTCTGAATAAATTCCAGTGCCTTTAATCAAAAGAGTGGCAATAAGAATGAGAATGAAATCTAGATTTCTTTCTACATACCAATTAACTTTATTGGACTAAAAAATTTTTAATAGCCTTATTGTTAAAACTTCAAATAGTTCAGAAGCACACAGATTCACATTCTTTATTACAGATCCCAGTGTTAGCATCTTCTATTAATTATTAACTTTCTTAAAATATGGGAAAGGTACCAGATTATTTTGGGTATTAAATAACCCTAGTTCACAATGAAAAAATTATTCCCTATGCAATTCTCTTTCAATCCTCTGATTACTTCAAGGACAGGGTCTCAGTTTGGTATTAATGTGCTAATCTAATGCTTGATCTGCTAATCTAATACTTGACAATTTCTATTTTTGACAGAGAACAGGTCTCAGTATCAGTCTTCAAAAGGCAACACTACTTGACTAGACTTTAATAATATATTTTATTTTCATTGATTTTATTTTGATCCTCTATTTCTGGAATGTGACACTGATTTTCTATTTAAGATAGTGATATAAAGTTTCCTTTTAAAATAAAATATATTTATGTAAAAATGATAAAGTTATTTATATAAACATACTAAGAAAATAATAGTATGGGAACTATATGGTAAAAAAATGGTGACCATAGTACACAAATGATTAAAAACTGGGAGTCTACATTAAGTATGGATTTGGGGCCATCAATATTTTAAATTCAACTATCCACCAAAGAAGTCAAAATTGTATATGGACAATGGAACAACAGAATCACACTGACCTATGGCCTGTGAAGTAGGCCTGAGTAGTTTATATTATTAATATGTTTGGACTTCAGTTTGTAGACTTCATAGCAATTTATTAAAGATAATATTGATCTTCTCACAGCTTTTCTGATATTGAGTCCCTACCAACAAAATGTATTCCATTTAAATCAGATTTCAAAAGAAAATTTTCAGTGAACAAAAATGACTTATTTAAATTAATTCAAACTTTTTCTTCAATTATGCTTTCTGATTTATTTGGTCTGGAGTGGAGCATAGGCATTTTTTTTTTTTTTTTTAAGCTTTCTATGTGATTTTGCTATGCAACCACTGCCCAAGTGAGGATTATAGTCTCCTACTTTTGTTTTCATAATGTGCTCCAAATGCTGAGTATAGTAACTAATTCCTTAATGAATCTATTACTTGCTCTGGAACTTGCTTTTTAGAAAAGCAAGTTGGTAGCATCATATAGGTATTCATTTCTTTCCCCTTCAAATCTTTATCTAGGTTGGAGCATTTTTTTACTGGCCACTAGTCACACAAAGTCTGATGGAGTTAATAATCCTATGAAAAATGTAGATAAACAGGAATCTTACTCACATATTTGACATATTCTTTCCACTGCTGCCACCACTGCATGGAGATGATAAACCAATTGTGTCCGGGTTGCAGACCATACCTGCTCTCTCGTTCTAACCATCCTCTGTACATACAAAAGAAATTCAGTACAACAAATGGTGTATAAAACATATGACCATGCACCTACAAATTATCATCAGAAATTTTTCAAAGGAAAAACATGAAACAGATATACTCAGGAGATGGTCACATTTTAAATTAGTGAAACACTGATAAGCCAATTTCTGGAGTCATAACACCAGTATTAAGCCTCCAACTGATGTTTCAAATACAGCTTAAATGAGAAATAATTTAGTAACATACTAGTTACCTGAATTAAGTAAAGAACTCAATGATTTTGGTAAACTTACAGTCATGTGCAACCATCACCACAATCCAATTTTAGAACATTTCAGATACCCCCAAAAGATACTTTATGCCTATTTTTAGTCATTTTTTAGTCAAATTACTGCCCTCGGCCACAAGACACCACTAGTCTATTCCCTATCTTATAAATTTCCTTTTTATGAACATTTTGCAATTTTTAAATGGACAAGGAACTTAAATAAATGGAATGTTATTACATTGTCTTTTATATCTGGCCTCTTTTACTTAGCATGTTTCTGAGATTCATCTATGTTGGAGTACATATCACTAGTTTGTGCTTTTTTATTACTGAATAATATTCCATAGGTATATTATTATATATATACATATATACACCATATTTTGTTTATCTGTCTAACACCTGATAATTTGAAACTGGCCAGCTGTTTTCCAAAGTGGCTGCACCATTTAACATCCCCATCAGTTATTGTATGAGGGTTCTAGTTGCTCCACATTCTCATCAACACTTGTTATTGTCTGTCTTTTCTATCACAAATGTCCTAATGGGTGTGAAGTGGTGTCACACTGCGATTTTATTTTTAAGATTAATTTATTATTTATTTATTTATTTTTATTGTAGTATAATTGCTTTACAATGTGTTAGTTTCTGCTGTACAATGAAGTGAATCAGCTGTATGTATATCTATATCCCCTCCCTCTTGGACCTCCCTCCCATGCTCCCATCCCACACATCTAGGTCATCACAGAGCACCAAGCTGAGCTCCCTGTGCTATACAGCAGGTTCCCACTAGCTATCTATTTTACACATGGTAGTGTATTTATGTCAAACCTCATCTCCCAGTTGGTCCTACCCTCCCCTTCCCCTGCTGTGTCCACATGTCCATTCTCTATGTCTATGTCTCTATTCCTGCCCTGCAAATAGGTTCATCTATCATTTTTCTAGATTCCACATATATACGTGAATATATGACATTTGTTTTTCTCTTCCTGGCTTACTTCACTCTGTATGACAGCCTCTAGGTCCAGCCACATCTCTACAAATGACCCAATTTCATCCCTTTTTCTGGCTGAGTAATATTCCATTACATATATGTACCACATCTTCTTTATCCATTCATCTGTCATTGGTTGTTTCCATGTCCTGGCTATTGTAAACAGTGCTACAATGAACACTGGGGTACATGTGTCCTTTTGAATTATGGCTTTCTCAGGGTATATGCCCAGTAGTGGGATTGCTGGGTCATATGGTAGCTCTATTTTTAGTTTTTTAAGGGACCTCCATACTGTTCTCCATAGTGGCTGAATCAATTTACATTCCCACCAACAGTGCAAAAGGGTTCCCTTTTTTCCACACCCTCTCCAGCATTTATTGTTTTGATGATGGCCATTCTGACCAGTGTGAAGTGATACCTCACTGTAGTTTTGATTTGCATTTCTCTAATAATTAGTGATGCTGAGAATCTTTTCATGTGCCTCTTCATCTGTATGTCTTCTTTGGTGAAATGTCTATTTAGGTCTTCTGCCCATTTTTTAATAGGGTTGTTTGTTTTTTCGATATTGAGCTCCATGAGCTGTTTGTATATTTTGGAGATTAATCCTTTGTTTATTGCTTCATTTGCAAATATGTTCTCCCATTCTGAGGGTTGTCTTTTCGTCTTGTTTATGGTTTCCTTTATTTATTTTTGGCTGCATGAGGTCTTAGTTATGGCACATGGGATCTTTGTTGCGGTGCTCGGGCTTCTCTCTAGTTGTGGCCTGTGGGTTTTCTCTTCTCTAGTTGTGGCATGCAGGCTCCAAGGTGCATGGGCTCTGTAGTTGTGGTGAGTGGGCTCTGTAGTTGTGGCATGTGGGCTTAGTTGCCCCAATGGCATGTGGGATCTTTGTTCCCTGACCAGGGATCGAACTCATGTCCTCTGCATTGTAAGGTGGATTCTTTACCACTGGACCACCAGGGAAGTCCCCACACTGTGATTTTTTTTTTTTTTTTTGCGGTACGCGGGCCTCTCACTGCTGTGGCCTCTCCCATGGCGGAGCACAGGCTCTGGACGCGCAGGCTCAGTGGCCATGGCTCACGGGCCCAGCTGCGCCACGGCATGTGGGATCTTCCCGGACCGGGGCACGAACCCACGTCCCCTGCATCGGCAGGCGGACTCTCAACCACTGCGCCACCAGGGAAGCCCCCACACTGTGATTTTTAAAACACTATTCTTATTGAGGAGAAATTCATATAACATAAGATGGTTGTATGTTGCACATTTTAAATGTACTAAATGCCACTGAATTGTATACTTAACAATTGTTTTTTCTTTTTTAACATCTTTATTGGAGTATAATTGCTTTACAATGGTGTGTTAGTTTGTACTGTGTAACAAAGTGAATCAGCTATACATATACATTTATCCCCATTTCTCCTCCCTCTTGCGTCTCCCTCCTACCCTCCCTATCCCACCCCTCTAGGTGGACACAAAGCACTGAGCTGATCTCCCTGTGACATCTGGCTGCTTCCCACTAGCTATCTATTTTACATTTGGTAGTGTACATATGTCCATGCCACTCCCTCACTTTGTCACAGCTTACCCTTCCCTCTCCCCATGTCCTCAGGTCCATTCTCTACATTTGAGTCTTTATTCCTGTTCTGCCCCTAGGTTCTTCAGAACCATTTTTTTTTTTTAGATCCATATATATGTGTTAGCATACGGTATTTGTTTTTTCTCTTTCTGACTTACTTCACTCTGTATGACAGTCTCTAGGTCCATCTACCTCACTACAAATAACTCAATTTCATTTCTTTTTATGGCTGAGTAATATTCCATTGTATATGTGTGCCACATCTTCTTTATCCATTCATCTGTCAATGGACACTTAGGTTGCTTCCATGTCCTGGCTATTGTAAATAGTGCTGCAATGAACATTGTGGTACATGACTTGCGGCATGTGGTATCTTCTCAGACCAGGGCACGAACCTGTGTCCCTTGCATCGGCAGGTGGACTCTCAACCACTGCGCCACCAGGGAAGCCCTATGACTCTTTTTGAATTATGGTTTTCTTAAGGTATATGCCCAGTAGTGGGATTGCTAGGTCATATGGTAGTTCTAGTTTTAGTTTTTTAAGGAACCTCCATACTGTTCTCCATAGTGGCTGTATCAATTTACATTCCTACCAACAGTGCTACAATTGTTAATTTTATGCTATGTGAACTCCAAAACATTTTCACACATCCCAACTAAGCAGTTATTTTCTATTACCCCCTTCCCCCAGCCCTTGACAATCACCAATCTGCTTTCTGTACCAATAGATTTACCTATTCTGGATATTTCATATATTTCATATAAATCAGGGGGCCCCAACCCCCAGGCCGTGGACCAGTATTGGTCCATGGCCTGTTAGGAACCGGCCACACAGCAGGAGGTGAGTGGCGGGTAAGCGAGCAACGCTTCATCTGCCGCTCCCCATTGCTCGCATTACCGTCTGAACCATCACTCACATTACTGCCTGAACCATTCCCCACCCCACCCTACCCCCAGAGTCTGTGGAGAAATTGTCTTCCACGAAACCGGCCCCTGGTGCTGAAAAGGTTGGGGACCACGGATATAAATGGAATCATATAATATGTGACCTACTGTGTCCGGCTTCTTCATTTGTGAGGTTCATCCATGATGTAGCATGTATCAGTACATCATTCCTTTTTATGCCTAATATTTCATGGCATAGATATACATTTTGTTTATTCATTCATCTACTGGTTGATATTTGGGCTGTTTCCACCTTATGGCTATTGTGAATAGTGCTGATATAAACATTTGGCTACAAGTATTTGAGTGTCTATTTTCAATTGTTTTAGGTATATACCTAGAAGTGGAATTGCTCGATTATGTGGTAATTCCACGTTGAAGAAGTACCAACTTGTTTTCTAAAGCAGCTATTACACCATTTTACAATTCTACCAGTGATGCAATGAGGATCCCAAATTCTCCACATCATCAAAAAATTTATTTTCCATTTTAAAAATTAAAAATATCCTAGTAGGTGCAAAGTGGAATTTCATGTGGTTTTGAACTGCAAAATTTCCTTAATGACTAATGTTTTTGAGCATCTTTTCAACTGCTGGATAACCACTTGTATATCATCTCTGAAGAAATGTGTATTCAAGTCCCTTGCCCATTTTAAAATTGAGTTATCTTTTGGTTGGTGAGCTGTAGGAGTTCTTTATATATTCTACTTACTTGACCCTTGTCAGATCTATGATTTACAAATATTATGTCTCATTCTGTAGGCTTTCTTTTCACTTTCTTGACAATGCCCTCTGATGAACAGTTTTTTAATTTTGATGAAGCCAAATTTATCCATTTTTTTCTTTGGTTGCTTATGCTTTGGGGGTCATGTATAAGAATTAATTTCAAAATCGAAATCATTCTTGGAGAAATATTTTTGCAGGATATAGAATTCTTGTTTTTTGTTTTTTCTTTCAGCACTTTAAATCTTATTGAGGATCCATTGTATGTGATAAGTAGCTTCTCTCTTGCTGCTTTCAAAATTCTGTCCCTGGCTTCTGACAACTTGATGATAATGTGTCTTGATGTGGATCTCTTAGAGTTTAACCCTGCAGTTCAATGAGCTTTTTGAATGTTTAGGTTCTTGTCTTTTATCAAATTTGGTAAGTTTTTTCTTCAAGTATTCTGTCACTTCCTCTCTCTCCTCTCCTTCTGGGATTCCCATCACATGAATGCTTGCTGCTAT